TATGTGGTTATATTGTAATTTATTTAGTCACGTTGCACATTGTTGCTCTTGAACTGATTGCTCAAAGTCCTGGAGTATTAAACGATTCATTAGTGATCAGTCACTGCAAGCCTTTTTATCACCACTAAATTCAACAGGCCCTTTTTGGGGCTTGGTGATTGAACCCATAAATTGTAGTATTTATATTGCTTGCAGTGTTATTTTAAATATAAATTGTAATGGATTAAATGCTAACTAGCTATTATTAAACATTGCAATATAGTAATTGTAATCGTCATATAGTGAAAGAGAAATAGATTTTGCATCCAGTGTCTGTTCTATTAACCACATCACATTAAGCTCTTCTTACAAACATAAAAGTATTTCTCTCAGTGTGCTGTAAAAATAGCACCCAACGTGACATAATGTCTTGACACCACAGATGTTATTTCTTAAAGTTAATGACATCTCCGATGGTGGGGTTGACATTTTCAAGAGGTATTTTGAATTCCCGGTCACAATAATGCGGATAAATGTCATTCGAGCCAAGTGTTGCTATTACTTTGTGAAATGTTTACTGCGTGCTTTCAAAATGTTAATAATATTGAAGATTTTTTCCAATACTGTATAATAAATGAATTGGGAAAATAACCATTTTAGAACACGAATATATCTTGAATTTATTTTAAAAATTGGCTTTTTAACACAAAACCGTAGAACAGGGAAACACAGGTTCGAATCCCCGTCAGTCTACTTAGGTGAGACCCCTAACGATATATATCTGCCTACCATAGATTGTCAGCTCAGTCAAGCAGGCCCCCCTTTCTCTAAATATATATTTCTTAATAAATGCATAGCATAGAACAAAAAGGGTCACTTTGTAGCATAGGTTGGGCTCCAAATAGCCCCCTACACTTTTCTTCTGAATTAATTTACTTACAGAATACCCCACTCAGTGATGTCACAAGAGGGTGCTATGCTTTTGTCTGCCCTTACAAGTGCGTCCATGGTAAATACACTCACCACTTGTTATACAGGCTTACTCATAGTTTTCTAAGACAGATCCTGTACAGGTGTGTTTTTTTTTCTAATAATTTTAGTTACGCAAAGTTCTAAAGTGAATTCTAATTATGGGATTGGATTTAACCAATTTCCCTTTACCGTGTCCTCTTTAAATGGAGATCAACTCCCTGTCCTGTAAAACATTACCAGGCACTGTGCATACTGTAGCCTTTGAATTTAATGCATTTTATCGCTGCAGGGAACTTATACAGTATATTGATTTCTGTTATTTATTTATTTTATTTTTTTTACACGACACATTGTTTCATTTTTAAATCAAACTGAACGAGATCTATGATTGATTGCATACTCCCGCAGCAAGAGGCGCATGGAGACCTTTATTCTGTTTGTATTGATATAGAAAATCGCTACGCTTCTAACTTGCAAAGCATCATGGGACTTCTCATTTTACAACAGCTGGTGGTTGGTTTTAATCTCTTGATCTTTTGATTTGTATATTGTCAAATAAGAGATTGTATTTATAAACGAACGTAGGTATTTAGCCATTCAAATTTTCTTCCTCTTGCATATTTTTATAACTGCTAACTTTATAAAAGTTTTATTTTTTAAGATCTCGGATTACTGTATACATGGACACAGAGACTGCCATCAGCGAATTGTCACAACATAAAAGCAATTACATGTAAAAAATGACTGAAATTTTTAATTACATAAATTTGAGTTTAAGTACAATTCTCAATGCCTGGAATAATAGATCACTTTATCTTGTAACGCCCGTAGGCGCGGAATTGCATTAATGGCTCTGTGAGGTAGTCGATTAGTCAGCTGCCATAGGTCTTATTTTAACCCCTTAAGGACACATGACGGAAATATTCCATCATGATTCCCTTTTATTTCTGAAGTTGTGTCCTAAAGGGGTAAACTGCTTTTTTTTGCTCCTGACAGGAACGAAAATAATAGCAATCAAATAACAGATCCTGATTAGCGCAGACAATGCGGCGGAATTAATGCAAATCAAAATATTGTTATAATGTTAAGCAGCATTTGTAATTATCAACATTTTGGTTTTATCTATGCATTGACAGCTGCTGATGAAAAAAATTACAGTATTTAATAATTATATAACTAAAACACACAAACAGTCAACATACTCACATAGAACATCCACATATTGTGCTAGGTTTATCAATTCAGAAATAAAAATCTAATAATACATCAACGGTACACCTTTTTGACTTTCTGGTTGCACGACTGGTTCAATCAAATATATTAAATATATCTCTGCACTGGCAACTTAACAAGTTTAAGCTCTTATGTGCATATTATTATTATTGGGTGAATTATTTTAATTTTTGTGTTGACTTTGAAATCCGAAAAGGACGGATTATGCTGCCCAAATAGTTTTTATGTTTAACAGGATAATCCTCTAAAGTGTGAATTTTCAAAAGTTCAAAGTAAATTTCAAATAGGAGGCCAAGATATCCAAATACTAAAAAAATCATCGTTAGCTTTTAATCTGGCAATTTTTTACCCAAAATTCGCCTTTTATTTAGAATTTTTGAGCCTTTACAATGAATAGCAGAGTCTGGGAAACTTAGGTCAAGAATGGAATTGAATTGAATCTGTGGAGTATTGGGCATCCTAATGAAAGATTTAAAGGTTCCCATAGCGCATTATAAGGAGGCGTGCAGCTATAACTGTTAAATCACAAACCTTTATCAACTCAATGCAGAAATTGGTACAATGATATAGATTGTTAAACACCAGTAAAAGCAAACTGTGTTTGCATTTTTTACAAGTCATGTATCCTGTCCATCTAATTTCCTGTTTATAAGTAAAAATGCTATAGGAATTAGTTATACAGACAATCACTTTGGGAGAAGGAACATGGTCTATTGTTTAACGTACAAAACTTTAAACTCAGCTAGTTATCTTCAGCATAAATTCTATACCTGTCTAAACAAACTCCAGAGTATAGAGTGGTAATAAAACAAACCTGCCACAATCCACAGGCAGTGTTATGGGCAGAGGCCAAGAGCATATGTTCACAATCACACATTATTTTGCTTGACTGCTGACCCATTATTCCTTTTCCGTCGCCCCCCCAACTGGCTTGACAGCACACACCTTTTCTGTTGATAAGGGCAACGGCCACAGCTTTATTAAATTTAAATCAATTCAAATAACTATAATACCCAACAGACAGTTCTCCAACCTCTTTTCCCAAGAGCCTCAACAGCCGGCACTTGCCATCAGCCCTCATTCGGGCTGTCGTCTCCCCGATTCGACTCTGCATCTTCCTTCTTTATTCCCAGTTGCGCTGTCCAGGGATCCCGCTACAGAAATTGCTGCCCTCTGGCGCGCTAGGCCCCCCCGCAGACAGCGCTGCCTCAACACCCAATTGCAAAACAACATTGCCAGACCAGTAGGCACCAAATGAACCCCATCACGCCTCATGACATTGGAGTTCTCCCCTTCCAGCTCAGCATGCCAAATTACAAACCCTCCCAACCATCAAACAAACCTATTAATGGACATATTAACTTTGTGACGGCAACGTTCTAAGGGCCTACCCTTACCTGAAACCCACCAAACTGGCCGAGGAATTGTTTCCAACCGTATGAACGTAAACTCCTTAAAGAGCGCAAAACAACGCGTCATGTCCTGCTTCATCTCATGAATTAAGTCGACTTACTGCCGTCGGCCAATATCGTTCGCACCCTCATGAAGCACTAATGTAACCAGCCCTGAAACACAGAGACTAAGCTGAGCGCACTCTGCATACATGTAATCCCAAGACAAACCACTCAAACCCCTCCAACATACCCGCACTAAATCAAATGGGAACCCCTGATTACGCCCATATGCTCTGGCTTCGACCCGTCAGATTGCCCAATACACATACGAATGCCCCAGGATCCAGATCCAGATGTATCGGGGCGTGCCTGCGAAAACAGACAATGACAAGAACAACAAGAAAAATAAAAGGGAGCGGGGGAAGATGATTACAACATATGAGACCGCACATAAAGCTGAAAGCGACCCGACTGTCACCTGCCCAAGAGCTTAAGCGCATCCGAATGGAAACCCAAAATGCTGGCTTGGGTCGCTGCCCCAATATAAAACGAGTGAGTAGTATAATGGGAAGGATACAACCCCACCATGCTGGCTTGGGTCACTGTCCCAGTACAAAACGAGTGAGTAGTATAACGGGAGGGATACAACCCCACCCAGCTTACACAAGCCCTAAGCACCCGAGAAAATTGGAAATGGCTCAATGAAGACCCGTTCCAGTGGAGAAGAAGAGAAACCCAAACACCACGCCGCACCACCAGGCACCCTTGAACCACTGGAAGCTACTGGACAAAAAGGACCAACTGTTGTGCCAATGCAAACACATGCTCCAGCTCCCCTTGTATATGTCTTAGACTGTCGCTACAGAACCAACCCGCCCTCAGAGATAGATATCAGACAGGAGCAGCACAGCTAGAGCACTGGCCCAGGGGGAGGAGGGGCAGTGCTCTAGCTGTGCAGCTATTGAGTCGGTTGTTAGACCTGCGGAAAGAAGTCTAACAACCAACACAATACCTTGAAGGAGACAGGATGATGCAAGTTAGACCGTCAACATTTTTTCCAACCCTTTAAGACTCTTGCGCAATGCAAAATGTTTTTGCAACATCCTGCCAGCCAAACCAGCAAAACAAAAAGAGGAAAGGGTGGCCAAGTGACCGCAGCGGACTTACCTGTAGCACACAAGGACTCCAAGAGAAAAAGTGTGGCCCCCAACTTCCCTGCATCCGATGAGGATTGTCAAATTACCCATGAGTTTGCTGTCACGCCAACCCCGTGGCCAACACTCTGCACACCAACATCCCTGGAAATATGCTCCAAAACCCAGAGGCATCAGTAAACAACTCCATATTGCCCTCCACCTTCTTGGGTCCTCACAACACCGACCTGCCTGGATCTTCTCCGCTGACCTGCTTTCATCACTGGGGATGCCGCTGCCGCTGCTCCCGCACCGCCGATCTCCCGACTACTCTGACTCCTACTCTCAACATGTCGAACCAGAGTTGGTGATAAGCACGATGGAGGCCGCGACCGCCGGGCCCTCCATCCACCTGCTCACTCACCCGAACCAGCAAGCACCTCAGGGCCAGTCCAGGGACCGCCGTAACTTTGGACATCAGTGCCTCCAATGCTCCTCGACCATGAGACTCCTGGTAAGCTTGCAGGAGTCTCAGCAGGTTAGGTGCAGCCAGGTTTACCATGCCAGTGACCACCGTGCGTGCATGTATGGGGGTGAGATGTGACAGTATTCAAAGGACCGGGCACTAAAAATTATTTTTACTTTCCACAGACTCTACTCCAGCCAAGGCAGAAATTATGCCAGGTTCCCACTACTGTCTCTGCTGACTGGTAAGTCTCCACCCCACTTCTCTCCACAAAATCCCCTGCATTTGCAACAAATTTACCCTTTTAAGTCCAGCCCACCATACATGGGCAGCAGTCATGCTCCCCCTTCCCAAGTTTACCAGGGGGAATCTAAACTGTGATGATCACAATCAACCATGTGTGTAATTTCCTTCATATGTTAAAACATGTAGTGCAGTAGGTATAGAGATAATGACAGGTGTGCAGATAGTAGATTGAGGGAATACATTTTAATAGAAATTGGGACTTTTATAAATTAACCTTGTTATATCCCCCATCGCTGTCAAACAACCGGCCCTGTTACTTCCTGGTTTGGTTAGCTCAGTGGAGCTAAACTCAAGAGGCAGCAATTGCCCAGACCACATGCCTTGCAAAGACTTCTCATTGAGCTGCTTTGGTCAAAGTCTGTGATTGGACAGCCGCAGAAAGTCTGGGCAATGTAAGGAGGGGAGGGCTTATCTTAGATGCAGATACTAAATCTGCAGCTATTGCAAGCCAATATTTAAATTAACCACAAAACATACAAAACAAATTACATGCATATTTTCTTTGGAGTTATATCTACTAAATTGTCTTGTTTTTTTTAATAGTTTTTTTTTTTTTTTTATTTAATGGAGCATCCCTTTAACCTTAACTGATAATAACTAGTACCATAGCCATGAGTTCAGTGAGGCACCTACCAGTTCTATCAAATTTATTTTATTCCATGCAACAGATTTTGATGCTACCATCACCTACTGCATTATAACTGAAACTACTGAGAGACGTTCCTAGGCCCTTTAAAATATCATACATTTTACATGACACCATAAAATCAAGCATTGTAATTCCACCTAACAGACCCAGACTGCTCTGCTTTCTAGCCTTAAAATATGGTGTCACCTTTTTTCTTTTTTCTTTAATTTATTAAAATGTATGATTTGAAATGGATGGGATATTCAGTTTATTGTAAATGCCTGGTTTAAATCATTTGAAACCTACTAAGCACTTTCATCCTTGAATATGCAGAGGGCAGTGAATAAAAATCTAATATTACAAATAATTATTCCCACAATTTCATTGCTGTTATCTCCTAATAATGTATTTTCTTTCAAAGGAATTTCTACAAAAAGAAAAAGATGTAGAATAAGGTCAAGATAGTAACCCTCCGCAAAGCTTTGCAAAACATGAACCTTTTATAGCTAACGTTGTTAAAGCCATTAAATTAATTAGTTATGTAAATTTCTTCTGAAAAACATTTTCTGAAAATGACTCTGAATTAAAAGGATATGCAATTCCATGTCTGGCATTATTTAGCTATTTGATTACAAAAAAAGTTAATTATTTTGGAGGAAAATGGTTTTATTGCACATGCGATGACACAAAATTAAATTCTATTGACGTATTGTGGCTCTCACAGACTCATATTATAAACATTATTAGAAAGGATTTGTAGCAAGAGAAATTCGTTTATTTTGATTCTTTATTTTTCTTCCTTTAAAATAATGCTCATCCATAATAATTACAAACTGATGTAAACTGTTTGAAGAGGAGTTGTGATTTAATTAGTCTCAAATGGCAAAGTTAATGTTGTTTTAATGTTGTCATAGATATCCTATAAGTTCTAAACTTTCAAAAGGCAGAATACAAATTTCATCCCGTGTGTAGCAACGCATGACAAAGAACTGAACAAAAAATTGAAATATGGAAGGGCAGTTAAAATAATTTTTATTAAAATGACATAACAGGAACACTACCAGCTTGATTTCACCAATGTATTTATTCACTATATAGATAATGCCTTACATTATGTAGAAACATTTAAAAATATTTAAACCAAAAAATACAAACATTTTTGCTACAAATCCCCATGGTTTATAGTATCTGAACTGAGCTCTCAAAAAACAAATATGTTAAAAAATACAGTAGTGACTGTTGCCCATCTCATTTTCTAGAGCAAAGCTGAGTTTATGCCCAAACCAGTTCTTTATGGGCACAGCAAGGCTTTCTGGGACTTGTAGTTCATATTTTAGCTCACTGTTATAGAATGGTAACAGGTTAACTATAACAGACAGGCACCTATGCCTGGCTATAATCCTGGACTTGGGCCCACATCTGATCCAATGGTGAAGAGAGGTATAAGAAACAGTTGTTCCCCGGGCATTCTTCCAGGCAATGTCCACAGCCATTAGACATCTGGTGTGGAATCATAAAGCGTTGAGGATAGGTACCCAGCTAGAACTACCCAAAGCCCAGGGAGGCATCGGCCTCCCCTCGATTACCAGGTACTATAACACGGCCCATCTACTCAAAGTAATAGAATAGCATGCCCACCGGACCACGAAACTCTGGGTAAACACTGAAAAACTGCAAACCACAGGCAAGGTACCAGCCCAGCTTTGGCACAGCAAACTCACATTCAGGTCACTACGAACGGGAAATCCAATGATTGACACCACACTCAAAGTCTGGTGTCTCCTTCACTACAAATACCAACTGATCATGTCTCCCAACCCCCTAACACCCATCACCCACAACCCAGACTTGGACGGGGGCCTATCCCCGGAAGACCTCCACACTTTCTACCAGACAGACTGGTCATACATATGCTTATGGTGCAAGGGCGCACAACTCAAACTATTGGCAGCTATGTTCCCTGACACCATCCCGACGGGACTGGGCAGATACCATTAACACCAAATAAAGTCATACTTTGAGACCAACCCCAGCAAACGTCTATTGCACAGGGACTCACTCAATTCGAATTGCTCTGCACATCCCGACAACACACAACCAAAGGCATCTCCTTACTCTATAACATGCTCCTAAGGGAAGGCTACAATGTGCAATGTCAATCAGCAGTGGCCAAGGCCACTAAGGTATTGTCATGCATGAAAAAGGGCATTCATTCTCGGGACGAGAGTATGATTTTGCCTCTTTATAAATCACTGGTAAGACCACATATTGAATATGCTGTGCAATTTTGGGCACCTGTTCTAAAGAAGGATATTATGGCACTAGAAAAAGTGCAGAGGCGGGCTACAAAATTAATAAAAGGAATGGAACATATCAGCTATGAAGAAAGGTTAACAAATTTAAACCTATTTAGTTTAGAAAAACGTTGCCTGAGAGGGTATATGATAACATTATACAAATATATTGGGGCCAATACAAACCATTGTGTGGAATTCTCTGCCTGAAGAAGTGGTTTTATCAGAGTCCATACAGATGTTCAAACAGCTACTAGATGCATACTTGCAAAAACAGAATATTCAAGGATATAATCTTTCAATGTAGGGTACTACATGCTTGATCCAAGGATAAATCTGACTGCCATTCTGGGGTCAAGAAGGAATTTTTGTCCTAGCTTGTTGCATAATTGTGCTTCAAACTGTTTTTTTTTGCCTTCTTTTGGATCAACAGCAAAAAACAAATGTGAGGAAGGCTGAACTTGATGGACGCAAGTCTCTTTTCAGCTATGTAACTATGTAACAATGTAACTCGTACACAAATGCTCAATCGGCATGAAATTCCAAGAAACAAGCTACAAGCTACTATCCAACTCGTACAGAACCCCAGACACACTGCATCACACAAACACAGACAGCCCAACTAACTGCTGGAGATGCAAAGCAGAGGGCGGCACTATGCTCCACATATAGTGGAATTGCCCAGTCATAACCCAATTTTAGACGATGGTGAACTCTAAGATGCAAGAGATCACGGACTCTGACCTACCGCTCCAACCTCTCCCCATGCTCCTGCACCACAGAGATGGGACCATCAAGACATATAAGAAATCCATGACCAAATACCTACTGAATGCGGCAAAATCCATTATTCATACACTCTTAAAGAGGGCGGGGGCACCATCCTTCCAGCAATGGGTGGACAAGGTGGACAAGGTGGGAGATATATATTCCATGGAATCATTGACCGCAGCCCTACAGGTTCGCTGAGACAACTGCTAACTAACTTTGACTATATAAATTTTAGCGCACTGACTTTAGTTTGCCTGGTGTCTGCATATATACACACACCATCTGTCTTGTCACTTAACCTGATGAGAGACCAGCAAACAGTACCGTCTGACTTTATACTTAAGTCTGAACTATGACCATGAATACGAGCTAGTGAAATGTGCTGCCAACATGGGTACTTTGGGCGGGCAGGTGAGTTCACCTCTGAAACTAAAGTCTAGTTTCAGAGAATTCAATGTTACAGTTTGGCATTGTCATTTTAGATCTGCCACATGTGTGTTTGGCAATATCTTTCGGACACCAGCATACGGGACACAGGTAAGAATGTGACTCATTAAACTGATTAAATACGTTCTAAAACCATTCTGATTTTTGTAATATAAAACACTTAAAGGGACACTATAATTAAAGTGTGTATAGATCACGCTCTAAAGTTTCACTGCTCAATTCACTTCCATTTAGGTGTTAAATCAGTTTTGTTTCAGTTTATACAGCCATAGCCACACCCTCTGGGCTGTATGAAAACAAAAATTGGTTCATTTTTAATCAATGTAACTTGATTTCAAAGTTTTTATCTACTGCTCTGTAAATTATTATAGCTTGCTAGACCTTGCAGGAGGTGTCTCTTGTATGTAATTTAAAGAGAATTTACAATAAAGGAAGTGTAAACATTAGATGACTCTTTACAGGAAGTGTTTAGGAAGGCTGTGTAAGAAACGTGGTTGGAGGTGTGGCTAGTGTTGCATAAACTAAGTGATTTAACTCCTCAATGGCAGAGAATGGAGCAGTGAGACTGCTCATTAAGCTAAAGCTGTTTTGGTGACTATAGTGTCTGTTTCCATGTTTGTTGTTAACAAGCAGTGATTAATCATTGTTAAAACCACTGGTCATTGAAGTTTGGAGCTAAACAAGTTTCTTTGGTACAGCCCTTGTATTCAGCTTGTCTGTGCTAGCATCAGGTGCTAGTTGTCACACTTTGGTGATGCCATAGAAACTGTACTAGAATAATGTATAGGCTCATAGTGTCCTGGTGGAATTTCTTTGCAACACCAATAAGATTTAAAGCACCCTACCAGCACATTTACAATGCCCTTTGGTTGCTTTGGCAATTTCAATAGTGTCACAATAAATATGTTGGTGTTGTCATAGCAACTTTAACAGGACACTTCAAACAGTTCCCTTAAAGGATAACTGACACTTCAAAACAATTTTTACTATAATAATCCTTTCATGAAGTATTGAAAGGAAATATTTTATTTATTTTTTATTTAACGAGAAAAACTCTTCCCTACCATTAGAATATGACAGGATCCTTCAGCCACCCATATATTTATTTATTTTTAAATATAGGATGCATTGAGCATTTGCAGTTCCTAACTTGTTTTTTCCCACTTTACACCAAGTTAAACACGATGTAAAGCTTAGTGAGCCATCAACTGCATATGTGCTGGAATTTCTTAATATATAGCATGGAAGGCAGATGTTATTTACCATTCTAAAATCTCCTATCAATCTCTTCTGGAGATGTTAAAACTTTCTCAAGCCACTGATTACCTGTAGTTAACTCTTTTTTAAAAAGTTTTATAAGCGTAAAAACAACCAATAATTTATACTGACAGGGACAGGAATTTTTGTGACTATTGATTTGTTAGGAAGTAATTGTGAAATGCATTCGAAAAAAATTACCACTGTCTATCTAATAAAAAAAAATAAAAAAATCTTTAAAAAAAACTGTATATTTCCATATGCCTACATGCCCAGCATATTTTAGGAATGAGTCAAATATCCATTTATCTTTGTTTGAAATAACAGACAGCTGTATATTATCTTGTCTAAGACATGCACATGTTCGGTGTTTGATATCTTGAGCAGTATTTTCTAAGAAACACGTTATTTCTTAGACTTTTTGCATAATTACATGTGTTAAGTCTGCTTAGAGATTAAGCTCTCTTTTGCTAGTCTATATAGCAATCCGTTATACTTCCATTAGTACAAATTAGCCTTTAGAATGCACAAATAAAATGTTCATTAATTTTGTTTCTGAAGACTTGTAAAAATAAGTAGTGATGTACCGAACGGTTCGCCAGCGAACGGTTCCCGGCGAACATAGCATGTTCGCGTTCGCCACGGCGGGCGAACATATGCGCGGTTCGACCCGCCCCCTATTCGTCATCATTGAGTAAACTTTGACCCTGTACCTCACAGTCAGCAGACACATTCCAGCCAATTAGCAGCACACCCTCCCTAGCAGACCCTCCCACCTCCTGGAAGGCATCCATTTTAGATTCATTCTCAAGCTGTATGCTTAGTAAGAGGAGGGAAAGTGTAGCTGCTGTTCATAAGATAGGGAAAAGCATAGCTAGGTTAGGGATAAGGGTATGCTTTTTTTAAATTTATTTTTTCTATGTAATGTAATTGAACTTAGTTGTCTGCCACAGCTGCCAGCTTCTGTGTCAGGCTCACAGTGCATACTGTGCCCATTTCCCCAGTCAGTGCCACCACTTAGATCTGGTGACACAAAGCTTGGATTTAAAAAAACAAAACACTTTTTTCACTGTTATATATTGAATAGCAGTCAGTGTCCTTAAAGCGGGTGTGTTACGCTAACAGTGGATACGGTGACCAGTGCCACCACTTAGATCTGGTGACACAAAGCTTGGATTTAAAAACAAAAAACACTTTTTCACTGTTATAGATTGAATAGCAGTCAGTGTCCTTAAAGCGGGTGTGTTACGCTAACAGTGGATACGGTGACCAGTGCCACCACTTAGATCTGGTGACACAAAGCTTGTATTTAAAAACAAAAAACACTTTTTTCACTGTTATAGATTGAATAGCAGTCAGTGTCCTTAAAGCGGGTGTGTTACGCTAACAGTGGATACGGTGACCATTGCCACCACTTAGATCTGGTGACACAAAGCTTGGATTTAAAAACAAAAAACACTGTTTTCACTGTTATAGATTGAATAGCAGTCAGTGTCCTTAAAGCGGGTGTGTTACGCTAACAGTGGATACTGAAAGGTAAATCTGCTACTCTGGTGACTCGGTCCCTCTGGTCACTATTCTCCAACCCTCGATTGTCAGCTGAATATTCAGGGAAGATTTTTATGGAAGCGTATTAACCAGACACACACTTTTTGCTCTCCATAATCTTCTGATCGTTTATTCAAGATTCGCTATATTTATACTATACTTGTCACGAATATTGGTTACAAAAGGTTACAAAAAGGTTACAAAAAGGTTACACAAGATACATAAAAGAGGAAGCAGTTTCTGCTGTTACATTCAATAATCTAATCTTACAAAATATCACATATACATTGTGGTTAGGCATTTCCTGATACATAGAAACTGTCATAGCTTGTGACTTCCTTTCAGTTATGTTTTGCAAGCAGTTCTGAAATACTGACAGATTAATTGTTTAACCCCTTAAGGACCAGATTTCTGGAATAAAAGGGAATCATGACATGTCATGTGTCCTTAAGGGGTCAATATTCCTTCATTTCCCCCTCTTTGAGCAATATCTTGCTCATACCCTATTTAAGGAGTCCTGGTCAGACAACCAGCCATCTGCCATGGTATATTCAGGATTGCTAGCCAATCCTGCAGGTCTTTCTTTATGTCTTCGGCCACTATTCCCATAGCATAGGACTAGGCATCTGACCAGCACCACAAACTTATAGATCTGTATCAGTATGTTCACCATTGCTTCGGTTATGTGTATACATTTGGAGATACTCATCATTTCAAGCTGGGGATTTTACAGGAACAGTGTTGCTTGTATGTTTGTAAATGCAGAATACAATAATCTTGAAAATAGCATAAACAAGTAGAGCAAGGATCAGAACCATAACAATAAGTATTGCAATATTCTTTAGCCAGTCTAGGATACTGTCAAACTTAAACATATCTGCCCATGGGTGATCAATACCTGAATTCCTCTTCATTTCTATGGATAGGTCTTCCAATTTCTTTATAGCTAGGGTTACTTTACCATTAGGGCCAGTGTTCTCTGGAATATAGGTACAACAAACACCGGAGTCAAGTAATTTACAGACTCCTCCCTTTTCTGCTAAAATCATATCAAGGGCCATTCTATTCTGGAAAGTCATTTGTGAGGTAGCCTGTAATTGTTCAGCAAGACCTTGTAATGCATCTCGTGTATAATTTACAAATCTTTGCTGATTATAATATATATAATTAATCCAGTTAACATTCTTGTTAGCTGTTATAATGGGAAATATTGATTCAAATCCTGCTGCCACCTCGTCTCTAGCTTTAAATTCATTAGGAACCCCTCTTGGAATACCAATGGCATCTAGATAGATATGTGGGTCGAAACTACCTTGTGGGGATTCCCTTTTCCTTCTTGTGGAATCAGTTACAACCTTAATTTCAGGGAGAGAGTCGCCAAATATATGGAGGGGCATGATTATTTTGGCTGGGGCACATTCTCCTCTCCAGGGGGTGGGGAGTCTAGAACGTATTTTCATATCTCCACATATTCAATAAACATCTCCCACAGATTGTGTTTGATTCACTAAGGTACAGAATCCTGAAGAGAAGTTATCAAATTGTGTACCCACCTTACCATTATTATTTCCCTGAAAACAAGTATAATTACCAGGATATACTTGGACAACATCATTTAAATTAAACTTGGGTTCACCAATAGGGTGACCCTTTTTCCATTCTTCACATTCTGTAGTATTAACAGTGATACCTGAAAACAAACTTAGGAAACATTCCCAGTACTCATCAGGGACATGTAAAGGTACAGTTCCTAGATGAGGTCTGGCACTACCACATACATAACAGTTTGACCTATTGTTGGAATGGGCATTATATCTCATCCATTCCAGCCATAGGTTTGTATCTGCATACCCTGTTTCTAACGCTATGGTATCTCCAAACGTGGGATCTGCTTTGGCCATCATATTACCAAGGGTCTGAATGTGGGGCTTTAGAGGATTAACAAGAGTTTGTCTAGAGGTGAGGCTTTCCCATTTTGAGGAGTTCCATATATCTTTTAACTGGATTTTTCCTCGATTACCTCCAATACCTCCTCTTAAAAAGGTACTGAGAATATAAATACCTTGATCTCCAGGACTGGGGTTTTCAATATTTAAGGTAAATTTCATGGAGTGCCCAGTTTGCCCTATAGAGGTACATGTACCTGGCTTTGTTAGGGTCATTCTAGTCAAGAGGGACTTCCCATTCGTATCCTTTTTATCTAATGCATTCTGTGGCTTATAACCCCAATCTGTCCCGGTGTTCCATCCAACTGAGCCCCAATAATCACAATTGTTACCCCTCTTTGAGCAATATATATTGCTCATATCATCGGTTAACATTCTCCCAAGACAGAGAAATTTCCACATTATGGCATTCCCAAGCAATCATGTGGTCTACAAGAAACAGAAACTCAGCAGAAAAAAAACAAAACAAAAACCACTTAATACTTTTGCAGACAGATATATAGAAAATGGATGTTTAAGACAGAATGGAACTTGGGCTTATAGCAACTATATTATAGCACAACCAGGACCTTGCGTCCTATATCTTTTAACCATTTCCCTATTCCAAAAGTCCAGTCAAAACCAGTCATATCCTCACGCAGTTCCTCAAAACATGGGAATCCATCCCTGGCACACTCAACATATATCAAAAACACACATAGTACATCCATCCCTGGGTCAGCTAACACTTCCTCTCTCTCTGGCTAACTCTACAAAAATAAAAATAGTTCAATAGTTCAGCATAGTTCAGAAAAATAGAATAAGTCTTTCACAGAGTATAAAGAAATCAGTTTAGACACCAGACATTTTGTTCCATAAAAATGGCTAAGGGTAGCAATATGGCTGACAACAAGACAATGTCAGCTTCCATATAGTTCTTAGTTCTTCTTTTGTTTGCTGGATTTTCACCACAAAGCTCTGTGCAACACCCCAATGGTTGAAAGGGTTATTACAGAACCAGCGGCATTAGACAGCACTGCACCTTCAGGACTTTCCAGGTTCTTGCGTGCAAAGTTTATGTCCTCATAAATAAGTATCTCAGTTTCTTCGGCCTGCATGGATTATGACCAAACAGACGTAATTGCAAAATACTTATTGCATGGTCAGCCAGAGAGATTGGTGTGTAGTCCCAGAAATCAGGCGGCACAAACACTCCAGGACGGTCTCTACAATCATACAAACACAAGGATCAATACAACATGAATTAATTACCTAGGCTAAAACTTAAATTAGAGATTAAGGTTAAACCCTTAATTTGTGTAACATGTACTTCTCTTATATTTTATGCAATCTGTCTTCTATAAAGTTTTACATAATACCCCTTTGGAATGCCTTTGCACGGATGAGAGTAGCACTCACTCTATAGAAATCCTTGTTAGGATGAATATTAAAACACTAACATATACATATGGGGATAATTCCCAATAAAACTCTGTTCCTAAACTGGAACCTTGATTTGATATTCAAAATTAATTACTTTAATAATCCCGAATAATTCAATACTCTTGGATTAACACCTAAACCTATATAAAATATTACAAACATGAACCATCTGTGTATTAGGCTGGGGTTGTTGGGTGTGGGTATAGGTTGGAAGCTATGGTTGGTATTGAGGAATCTGTGGGGGTGGGTTTGGGCACTCATTTTTCCAGTGACCCTGCTATCCACAATTAGAACAGTGTGTTCCACCAATGCTGAAGTTGTTACCTCTACAAAAGTTAGACCCTTTGACTAAATCCTCTACCTCTGCCTTTATTCCATATGCAGGATGGGATTACCTAACTCACAGCCCCCTCTTTGTGTACCACACAGATATAATATTAATAAGCTTTTAAAGGCTGTATGGATAGTTAAATTTTGTATATAAAGCAAGGTTGTCTAGGGGTATATACATCGACAATGAAAGCATAGCCTTCATATAGGGCTTGCAATACTGACAGTCTGTGTCATGAGCATAATGCAGACATGCGGTTAGGTACTTTTCCATTGTTATAATATATTGAAAACACTAAGACCTTGCAAATTTTTAAAACGCAAATTGCTTCCTGTACCTGGTGCCGTGCAAGGATGTAATTGGGACATATTTCAAATTGAGTATCAAAAGTCTAACCACAAAACTAAATGTTATACGCTTATCAAGAAAACAAGTTTAACCCGTTAGTGCGTACTTTGGATAGCCTCTTTGCATAAATTGGCACGTAGTGAGATTATTATATTATTTATTAATGCTCTTCTGGATCTGCAAAATGCTTTCAATTTACCCATACAAATATAATACAGTAGTTTAGGAGATTAAAATTACCTCACTTATAAATTTCAGAAATTGTCTAATCTCCAATAAAAATACCATGTTATTATTACCCCATAATCAATGAGGCATACTAGATGAATCTTACTTTGACACAAACAATGCAATATACTTTAAAAGTAGAGTTAACTCTGAGCTGGACAATACTCCCCTATTAGAACTCCTTTATGAGGGAGAGACATCTTGTCCATTCAATCCTTTTTATCAGTAAAAGAATGACTTTCAGGATTAATCAGTTTGCAAATGGAAATGTGGAGCCACGATTTGAACAGCAGAAGTTTGCGGGGCCCCTTTCACGTGGGATGTAACAAGCGCTTTTCGTGCTCCAGGAGCGATAGCATACAATTGTTTCATTCTAGCCGGCTGGACAGCATTTCACCTTTTGTAAAAACACTAAATGCTTGCGTTAATGATATGCAAATCACTCTGCTAGTTAAACTCCTACACAATGGACAATAAAATACATAAAACACATAACACACCAATTCATTTCAAACCATATAACTCATACTCAGCATTCAATGTAATATTACATGTCATCTCACAAAACAGACATCTCACAAAACAGACGTAGTAGATACACGTATCGGGTACCCAGCAGATATGCCAATACAGAAAACACATTCATGAGCACACAACTACACACTCTGTGTCCCTCCTAGGAAACACAGGTAGACACAATATGAAAGCAGTCTTAAACTAATACCTCCAAATCTCCATTCCCATATAGCTATATCAGAACACAATCAGAAAACAACACAGCAACATATAAATTAAACCACTTTCCAGTTAAGCTGCACACTTCACACATTATCACAGTCACCATTTACACAGAATAAACAGTTAACAGCTGTACTCAGAACATATTATAAGGTATACCATTTTTAGTTTATATTAGATTTATTTTAGGGATTCTTATGTATACTTTATTTTATTATTTTTTTTATTTTTTTTAATTTTTTTTATTCTTATTAACTTCATTACTTTAATCTACTATAGTATTGTATACAGAGAAAGGATCCATTTATATAGCGCGCTCATAACTCAAATATTTGTATGAAACTTCCATTAACTAATCTGAGATGATACTGCATCAACTGAAATCTTATAGAAATTGAGCAAACATTTGGACCAGATTACACAGACATGGTTTCACCAGAATCTTACAGAACTCTCAGAGACTTAAAAAAAATTATTCTATACCATGTTTAAAAGGCATGGCAAACCTTAGACCGGTCAGCCTCCAAGAGCCTTAGTAAAACAGGTAGAAACCTTTGTCCATAATCTCTGATCCAGGCTATATACCACAATTTAAAAGAACAGAACACATATAATGTGAGACATAGAAGACACAAAACATATGCAGTAGTTATTACACTGGATCATTTAAAAGGAATCTGTTGCAATAAAAGGTTAGTTTACAGCGCAAAATGAAGCATGTGTTGGACCGCTGAAAATGTAAATGTTGCTCTCTTATTAACAAACAAAAATCATATTTACAGTATGGATCCTTTGCAACAAGCACACAGGGCAGGGAAGATGTGCTGTTTGGTGTTCTATACAATTAATCCCATATGGGGAATTAACTTTCAAATACTAATGATGTGACTTTTTGTCTCAGTTATAAAAATACTGAGCTCATCATGCAAACAATGCAACACGTTTACACTATCCCACTCTCATAGAAAGTGTAGTGGGCTTATGGTATTAAAGCAACAATCATATCAGGCACACAGATCCCATGTGAAATAACTTACAATACAACAGAGTAATAAACTTATACTTCTATGCGACAGAAAGAATAAAGCAAAAGATTTAAGTAGGTCTATCAGGTACAACCTGCGAGTCAGTTCTTTTCTAATATACAGTACTGCTATTATATATATATATATATATGTATATATATTGGTCACTCAGGACCAGAACTTACATTTCCCATACTGCTGACTCAGGGTGGACACACTACTAACTTACCAAAGTGTGTCCCCAATATAGACAATCACCCAATTAATGGAGAGTCATTGTTTGCAATAAAGACATGGACACTACAAATGTGCTTTAACAAGATTCTCAGTGAGTATATTTTCAGGGCTAGCATATAAAGCAAAAAGAGTTTAACTATTTCATATCCTTACAGTCAGCACTAATGATTATAAACCTTATTTAAGCATAAAATACATATGAACAAGAAAAGTTAACTACTTCATATTCTTACATGGTAATTTCCCATTCCTAGGACAAATCTTTCAAACACTTATTCACACTCAGAACCAGACTTAACTAATGACAATTAGAGGGTGGACAAGGTGAACCTGAAACTCTGTGCACACTATCGTAGTATATTCACTTATATACTAAATTCTCTGTCTATATCACTTTATAGACTTTATCTGTCCAATTCTCTTATTAGACCTTCTCTAGTTCACTTACTAGAAATACATATATCTCTCTGTCTAGTTCCCTTACTAGACTAATTTAACGGGACCTTATGTAAAACTGAGTCACAGAAAACACATATACTAAATAACCTTTCCTAAAATGATGTAGACTTACAAAACCATGGGGATCATAGATTCAGGGCGTCAAGATAGACACAAGGAATTACTACTCACCCAAAATGGTTTTGGCTACAATCCCACTTCTGACACCAAGCTGAAAGGTAAATCTGCTACTCTGGTGACTCGGTCCCTCTGGTCACTATTCTCCAACCCTCGATTGTCAGCTGAATATTCAGGGAAGATTTTTATGGAAGCGTATTAACCAGACACACACTTTTTGCTCTCCATAATCTTCTGATCGTTTATTCAAGATTCGCTATATTTATACTATACTTGTCACGAATATTGGTTACAAAAGGTTACAAAAAGGTTACAAAAAGGTTACACAAGATACATAAAAGAGGAAGCAGTTTCTGCTGTTACATTCAATAATCTAATCTTACAAAATATCACATATACATTGTGGTTAGGCATTTCCTGATACATAGAAACTGTCATAGCTTGTGACTTCCTTTCAATTATGTTTTGCAAGCAGTTCTGAAATACTGACAGATTAATTGTTTAACCCCTTAAGGACCAGATTTCTGGAATAAAAGGGAATCATGACATGTCATGTGTCCTTAAGGGGTCAATATTCCTTCAGATACGGTGACCAGTGCCACCACTTAGATCTGGTGACACAAAGCTTGTATTTAAAAACAAAAAACACTTTTTTCACTGTTATAGATTGAATAGCAGTCAGTGTCCTTAAAGCGGGTGTGTTACGCTAACAGTGGATACGGTGACCATTGACACCACTTAGATCTGGTGACACAAAGCTTGGATTTAAAAACAAAAAACACTTTTTTCACTGTTATAGATTGAATAGCAGTCAGTGTCCTTAAAGCGGGTGTGTTACGCTAACAGTGGATACGGTGACCATTGCCACCACTTAGATCTGGTGACACAAAGCTTGTATTTAAAAAAAAAACACTTTTTTCACTGTTATAGATTGAATAGCAGTCAGTGTCCTTAAAGCGGGTGTGTTACGCTAACAGTGGATACGGTGACCATTGCCACCACTTAGATCTGGTGACACAATAGCTTGTATTTAAAAAAAAAACACTTTTTTCACTGTTATAGATTGAATAGCAGTCAGTGTCCTTAAAGCGGGTGTGTTACGCTAACAGTGGATACGGTGACCAGTGCCACCACTTAGATCTGGTGACACAAAGCTTGGATTTAAAAACAAAACACTTTTTTCACTGTTATAGATTGAATAGCAGCCAGTGTCCTTAAAGCGGGTGTGTTACGCTAACAGTGGATACGGTGACCAGTGCCACCACTTAGATCTGGTGACACAAAGCTTGTATTTAAAAACAAAAACACTTTTTTCACTGTTATAGATTGAATAGCAGTCAGTGTCCTTAAAGCGGGTGTGTTACGCTAACAGTGGATACGGTGACCAGTGCCACCACTTATATCTGGTGTCACAATAGCTTGGATTTAAAAACAAAAAACTTTTTTCACTGTTATAGATTGAATAGCAGTCAGTGTCCTTAAAGCGGTGTGTTACGCTAACAGTGGATACGGTGACCAGTGCCACCACTTATATCTGGTGTCACAATAGCTTGGATTTAAAAAAAAAAAACATTTTTCACTGTTATAGATTGAATAGCAGTCAGTGTCCTTAAAGCGGGTGTGTTACGCTAACAGTGGATACGGTGACCAGTGCCACCACTTAGATCTGGTGTCACAATAGCTTGTATTTAAAACAAAAAAACTTTTTTCACTGTTATAGATTGAATAGCAGTCAGTGTCCTTAAAGCGGGTGTGTTACGCTAACAGTGGATACGGTGACCAGTGCCACCACTTAGATCTGGTGACACAAAGCTTGTATTTAAAAACAAAAAACACTTTTTTCACTGTTATAGATTGAATAGCAGTTAGTTATCTTCAAGCTGGTGTCAGGCCTACAGCCTGTGCTCTGCACAACTGTGCCAGTGCACATTGCCACTCATATCTGGTCTCACAGTAGCTTGCACACATAGTACCACTAATCCCAACAAAAATGACAGGCAGAGGCAGGCCACCCCGCAGGGGCCATCGTGGTCGCGGTGCTGTGATTCCCTTTGGCCCTAGAATAATGCCCAGTTTTCAGAGGCCACGTACCCTGAACTTGAAAAGTTCTGAGGACATAGTT